CGAGAGGTCCCTGGTTCAATCCCGGGTGTCCCCTAGTTTTTTTTTGTCTTTATTATTCTCTCTTTTTCACAAGATTCCTGAAGTCAAGGCCGTCAAAACCCATCATGGGGATATAGCTCAGTGATAGAGCATTTGACTGCAAATCGAGAGGTCCCCGGTTCAATCCCGGGTGTCCCCTAGTTTTTTTTTTCAAAAAAAGGAATTAATCGTAATTCGTTCTATCCTCAATTATTTGACTAGAGTATTAATATTGTTGCTCGAATACGAGACAATAATTAATGATCATCATTCAGCATGACCATCTATATACAATCATTCATTCAATGATGAGAAAAAGTATCGGGTATGAGTATAAAAACAACCCTACAGAGGTAGACGGGTCATCGTTACGAAAGAAAAGAACATAAAAACAAGAGAGTGTATCGTGTACATAGATATTCGTTTGCTCCTATGGTCAGTATTAATATTGTCAAAGGTCGTTTTGTGTTGTTCTCGATTATACTCTCATTGAACACGTATATGTATTGGATGAACGGTCGCTTGGTTTTCTTTTTCGAGAAATCGGCAAGTTCAAATGGATATATACAATATTAATGAATACAAAAAAAAATAAAATATTTAGTATAGAAAGGTAATTTTGTTTTAGAAATAAAATTACTTGGAACAAAGAATTTGAATGTTCAAAACAAAAAAGAAAACGAAAGAAAAAAACAAGCTTCAATGCATTGGTATGGTGGAATAGTTGACAAGAATCGATTCATTTTTGAAATAATGAAAAGAAATGAAAAGATTTTATTTAAGATTATTTATTTTAAAATTAATTATCAATATTATATATATTCATTGATGCTAGTTTTCGTTGAAAATATTTAAAATATTCATTATCGTTAATGTAGAGTCATCTCACGTAAAAAAATTTTATTAGCTTACATTAGTAACGAATAGTTTATAAGAAAAAGTACAAGTGGTTATTAAAATATTACATTTTATTCTGTCATATTTGATGAAACACAAGATAAGCATTATATTATAAAAATTTCATATCTTATAATAACATTTATTTGTTTAGAAGTTATCTTCGACTGTTTCTTGTTCTTTTATCATTCAATCTCTAAAGAATGAATTTTATATAGTTAGAATAAATTGAAATAAAGTTTAAATTATCTTTTTTCAAATTTTTAGATCGAATTATGTTATTGTATTTATTTCTTATTCTTCCAGTGATAAGTGTAACAAGTCGGTCATGGAATATTCATGATCGATCAGTACCTAAAACCATATCAGATCGTTTAATTGAATTAGCCACTCAAGGTGCTTTTCGTGGTGTTACTTATTATCGTTTAGCTGCATTAGCTGATACAATTGGTCCTCGTCTATGTGGAAATGAATCATTAACACAAGCTGTTGATTGGATACGAAATGCAATGACTAGTGAAGGTTTAGAGAATGTTCATGTTGAACAAGTTCAAATACCTCATTGGGTACGTGGTGAAGAACGAGTTCAATTAATTCAGCCACGTTATGCAAAATTATCAATGCTTGGTTTAGGTAATTCAGTTGGTACTGGTTCAAAAGGTATTCAAGCACCAGTACTTGTTGTTCGATCATTTGATGAATTAAATGTAAGATGTGAAGAAGCTCGAAATAAAATTGTTGTTTTTAATCCACAATGTGATTGGAAAGCACAACCTATTGATTGTTATGGTGTTGTTGTTGCTTATCGTTCAGGTGGAGCATCTCAAGCTGCTAAATGTGGAGCATTAGCTTCTCTTAGTCGATCAGCTGCATCACATTCAATTGATTCTCCACATACTGGTGTGATGACATATGATTCATCATATCCAAAAATTCCAGCAGCATCATTATCAGTTGAACATGCTGATATGCTTGAACGTTTTCAACAACGAAATCAATCGATAGAAATTCTTCTTTATATGGAAGCACAAACATTACCTGATGTTACAGGTTATAATCTTGTTGCTGAAATAAAAGGTTCAATTTTACCAAACGAAACTGTACTTGTTAGTGGCCATCTTGACAGTTGGGATGTTGGTCAAGGTAAAATTAATAATTATTTATTTTTATAATTGATATAGATTTATAGGTGCTATGGATGATGGTGGTGGTGCAATGATTTCTTGGACTGTTCTTTCGTTACTTCATTATTTAAATATTCGTGCTAAACGAACAATTCGTTGTGTTCTTTGGTCATGTGAAGAATTTGGTGGTATTGGTGCTGATCAATATTTTCTTGCACATGAAGATGAAGTACCGAGTATGAGTATTGTTATGGAATCTGATATGGGAGTATTTCATCCACTTGGTCTTGAATTTCAAGGAAATGATAAAGCACAACAAGTAAGAAGAAACGGAAAAAAAAATTTTTTTTTTTTGATGAAATTTGTTTTCTAGATTATACAAACAATATCTCAACAATTAATATCAATTAATGCCACGCAAGTTATACCAGGCGGTGGTGGTACAGATATCCGTCCATGGCAACTACGTGGTGTTCCTGGTGCATCACTTTATAATGATAATTGGAATTATTTTGCTTACCATCATTCAAATGGTGATACAATGAATGTACTTAATTCGACTGATGTTGATCTAGCTGCAGCTGCTTGGGCTGTTTATGCTTATGCTATTGCTGATCTTGATGACTTATTACCACGTTAGTTCAGTATTCGCGGAATTTTTTTTTCACAAAAGAAAAAAGTAAAAAAGAAAAGTGCTTTGTGTTTATAAACAACGAACAGAAAAGAAATGTTTGACTGTCAATCATTATAAATGCATAGTTTACATAAGATGAAAAATAGGAATCATAAATTGACGATTTACTTTGCATTTTTTTTTTATTCCTGTGCATTTAACTACTAAAATACAACACAACAATGACATCGAAAGGTAGTGGAATACGTGTAGTTGTGTTCGATCCATATGATAGAGTTCATTCAACTATACGTGATGCAATGATTGAACCAATTGAATCATTTTATAATTCATCATCTTGTATTTCATCTATTCAACAAAATTCAAAAGATGAAAGAGCAATTATTTTAATAACAACATCAACAGAAGATCATGTTTTACAATCATTTGATGCATTGAATTCTATTGAAGCTATCCTTATTTTATCTAAATCACGAAGAGAAATTGATACATTACCAAGTAAAGTAATTGGTATTTATTCTCGAATTGAAAATTTATTACGAGTACTCTTTGAAACATTTGATACAATAGAATTACAACTCGATGCAAATAGTATCCTTTTTCATCGTCAAGAAGACGGTAGTGATAATACAGATTTTTATTTTTATAATATTTGGAAAACTCATAATACAAATCAAATACTAACAAAAAAAGTTTTTATTGAACAAGCACGTATTCTTTTTCGTTCATATCGTAAAATAAAATCTCTTATAAATGATTTTAATATATCATATAAATCTTCTGAAGTTCTTTATTGGCTTGATAAATATAATCATCCATTTCCATATCATTTACTTATTTCAAATGCATTACGTACACATGATCAACAAATTTTACAGCTTGTTCATTTTTTTCTTAATGATCTAAGTCAACAAATGAAACCTGTACCAATAGGACCGAGTTATAATCAAGTCTTTTTTGGTACAAAATTACCTATATCAATTGTTGATCGACTTGAACAACAAACATCAAAAGATATTATTGCATTTCAATGTTTTCTTCTTGCAACAAGATCAAGAACAAAAGCTTTATCAGCAGCAACACAACCAACTCGTCGTCATAAAATAGCTAATGTACTTTTTAAAATCGATGTAAGTCATGCATTATGTGCATATATAAATGATTCTATTCTTATTAATATGGCAACACCATTTCAAATAACATGTGTTACAAGAAATACAGGTTCTGGTGGTGTTCAACAATTAGTTACTATTGTTACATTAGTTTCACTTGATAGAAAACATAGAGAACAATTACTTGGACAATTTATTCAACGACAAAAAGCGGCAGGAAAAACAATAAATGATTTTATACATCAGACAATTCCACCTGTTAGGTTAGAAAGTATCAATAATCTTTTAATTAATTTCTATTTTTTTTTCTATATTTTTAGAGTAGATAATAATTATACAAGAGAAAGTGAAAATAAGTCGGATATATCTAAATACTCTATTCCATTATATGTTGTTTCAGTATCAAAAACAAGTCTAGATTCACTAGCTGTATGGTATGTAGTATTTTTTTTTCAATAATTATCAATATTAATTTATCGAAAGATCAACGATAAAATTTCTAGGAAAGTTAAAGATGTTTTTATAAAACACAATCTAAAAGGACTGTTGAAGTATTGGGATAAACATTCTACAATCAAAGACCCTATGTCGATAACATCTCATTATAATATCTATGATATCCTACGGACAATGAAACTTTCAATATTTCCATCATATCTCTTTTAATATTCGTTTGTTCAGATATTATTTTTTTCAAAAAAAAAAATGTCTTTCAATTCTCTATAAAATGGTATGTTGTTTTTTGTGAATATAAATAACATCCATTATTTTCTAAAAAAGAAAGCTTCAAACGAACAGTACAAGATAAACATCTTTTTTTGTAAAACGAATTCTTGTCGAACTTTTATGATTTCATGTTTTAGTTCTTTAATAGGAATACCTTTCAATGGTAATTTTTCTCATACAGTACAATAACCAAAATCATCGCAAATTAAACAGACCAATGAATTACTCAATGGTCAATATTTCTTGTTAATAAAAAGATAGAAAAATTGTTCTCACATCATTATTATGCCAATTGAGTAATATAAAGTTTCGCATTATTCTGATGAAATCTCTCATCTGATACTAATTGTCATTATTGATCAAAGAACATTATAATTATACTCAATCAATATTATTCAAGTATCAATAAAATATGAATAGGAAATCTTCAAAATAGATTGAAGATTTCATTAGAGCAATGGGCAATTTCGTATCACTCAATTAACACAATAATGATGTTCGAATAACTTTTTCCTCCTTTTCATCAACAAGAAATATTGACAACTGAATAACTCATTGAATCGTTCAATTTGAGATGATTTTGATTATTTCACTGAAATAATGAACGTTATTTAGATTCACAAAAAAAAGAATATTCTGAACAAACAAATATTAAAAGAGATATAATTGACATATCGAGAGGTTCATTTTCTCTGGAACATTTGGTATATGAACTACTTCCTTATTACATTTCTGAAGGATTAGATAAAAGAATATTGATGAGATGTGTCTCAAAATAGAACGAATAAAACAATCTCCCTACGATTAGTAACAGCCACTCAATTGTGTCTTACATTTCAATCCCATAGGGATTACGCTAACAGTTTTTTTTTTCTTCATTTAGTGACGAGGAAACTGAAGCAGATGAACTTATAGCTCGTGGTAGATGGGCTCAAGCTGTTGATGCTTTAGCTCGTATAGAGAGTCCAAATGTTCGTGTTTTAAATAAACAAGGATGTTTATTACGTGAACGTTTACAAGATTTACCTAGTGCACTTGAATGTCATCAACAAGCATTAACTAAAGCAACTGATAAAGGAAAAGCTGAAACACTTATTTATCTTGGTATTGTTTATCATGATATGCAACAATCTGCTGAAGCATTAAAATATTATTCTCAAGCATTACAATGGTTTGAACAAGAAAAACCAAGAGATCCAGCTATGATAGCTCGATGTCTTGTTGGTCTTGGTAATGTACATTGGGCACGTAAAGAACTTGATCAAGCACTTGATTATACAGAACGTGCTTTAGCTTTACGTGAACAAGAAGTTAAACCAAAAAATAATCTTGATATAGCTGCTTGTCTTGGTAATATAGGAAATATATTACATGATCAAGGTGATTTTGAACGAGCATTAATATATGCTAAACGAGCTGTTGATTTATTACGTAGTGATGGAGAAAATGATCTACGATTAGCTGCAGCATTAAATAATTTAGGTGCGATGTATCAAGCATGTGGAAATTATGATAAAGCACGAGAATATTTTGAACGTGCATTAGAATGTTTACCAGATGAAAATCATCCATATCGAACAAGTACATTGAATAATATTGCTCGATTAAATAATATTGAAGAAGAATAAACATAATTTTTTTTTTGCTTTGTTGAGAATATATGAAGAAGACGATTCGATGACTTTTTTCGTTTATAAGGATATATGAATTGAGTCAAAAGAATAGATAAAGTAATTTAAGTATTAATTGAATTTAATCAACTGATTTGTTTTTTTAAATGACAGGTAAGTTCATTAAACTTTTATTTATGTTCGAAACCTACTATTGAAAGATTTCAACTTTGTACTATTCCTAGAATTACTTATGGATAATTTCTGTTTTAATTGTTTGAATTCTGACTTGATATCATGTATTGAAGATCAAAATAGTTTAAGAAATTTAAGTTTTTTTTTTTTTTTTGAAAAAAACAATCATCCGTAAGTCCCACTAGGAATAGAAAAAAAATGTTTAAGTTATA